TTTTTGCTTATGTGGTGCTGAGGAATCGAACCCAGGGCCTCAGGCATGCAAGGCAAGCGCTCTACCAATGAGCCACCTTCCCAGCCCCGACAGTTTTTCTTCATGCCAACTGTAAGACTGAACTCTCTTCTAGGTGCTGTCCCTTATTCTTTTTTGCTCAAGGCTGGTACTCACCACTTGAGCTACAGTTCTACTTCCCATTTTTTTCCCCTGTGTGTGAAGGTACTGGATATGGAACTCAGTACCTTGTACTCTTGTTCAGCTTTTTCAAACATGGTTGGTGCTCTTCCACTTGAGCTACACCTCCACTGCTGGCTTTTTGCTAGTTCATTAGGTCTCACTGACTTTTCTGCCAGGGCTGGCTTCAAACTGAGATGCTCAAATCTCAGCCTCCAGAGTAGCTAGATTATAGGCATGAACCTTTGTACCAAGACTTTTTTTTGGGGGGGGGGTCCGGTCGTGGGGCCTGAACTCTGGGTCTGGGCTCTGTCCCTCAGCTCTTTTGTTCAAGGCTAGCGCTCTACCACTTGAGCCACAGTGCCACTTCTGGCTTTTTTCTTTTTGCTTATGTGGTGCTGAGAAGTCAAACCCAGGGCCTCAGGCATGCAAGGCAAGCGCTCTACCACTGAGCCACCTTCCCAGCCCCAAGACTTTTTTTTTAATGACAGCTTGACTAGGCTGAGACAGCCAGGTAGTTGGTAAGACCTATGAAGATATTTCAGGAAGGGACTGGCATATGGACAGCAGGGTGAGCTAAGTACCTTTACTAAATATGAGCTCACTCGCTTAAAGGTGGAGGAAGGGTGAATTTTCTCTCTCTTCTTCAGGAGGGCCATTTGACTTTTCCTGCCCTCAAACATGAACATTCTTGTTTCTTGGGTCTTGATACTTGGGCCTTTGGGACTTACATGATTCTTACATGATCCACACCTGCCTGGACCCCAATTCTCAAGCCTTTGAGGTTGGACTTGGAGTTACCCCTGGGACTTGTTGGGTTTTCCAGTGTGAGACTCTGTTTCTCTAGACACGAGTTTCCATAGCTGTGTGATCCAATTCTCATTAAAAAAAAATAACATAGCAGCCAGGCCCTGGCAGCTCTCGCTTATAATCCTAGCTACTCAGGAGACTGAGATCTGAGGATCTCTGAAGCCAGTTCCAACAAGAAAGTCCATGAGATGCTTATCTCCAAGTAACCACCCCAAATCCAGAAGTGGAGTTGTGGTTCAAGTGGTAGAATGCTAGCCTTGAGCAAAAAAGCACAGGGGCAGTGTCCAAGTCCTGAGTTCAAGCCTCAGGACTTGCATGTGTGTGCGCGTGCACGCGCGCACACACACATACACACACACACACACACACAAGGGGCGGGGGGAGAGAGAGAAAGAGAGAGAGAGAACGTGCTTTCTATTGATTCTGTTATTCTGAAGAACTTGACTAATGGAATATTCAAATATGCCATTTGTTAAATGTGACTTTCCTAAGAAGGACTAGGGTGTGCTACAAATTTGGGTCCCACAGCTTCACCCTGACCTCCATTTCCTGTCCGCAGGCCATCACGGCAGTTTTGGGCACTTCTTTTTTTTTATTTTATTTTGTTTTGTGTTTGCACTTCTGGAAACTTGGGAACCTCAATGTGTTATGCTTATTTCCCCACAAAAATTAATGGCACTTTCCACAATTGTTCATAACCCTTACTTCCAAATTTTCCATATTCTGGAATCTGTCCTGTGGAAGGGGGGGAGCTGGCTTGCCTAGTCTGTTTCTGTCATATTGCCAAGGCTCTGTTTTATTTATTAAATAATAACAAACTTATTTGATATACTAGGTTTGATAATTTCATATATAAAGGTTGGATCTGGGCAGGGCGCCTGTGGCTCACGCCTGTAATCCTAGCTACTCAGGAGGCTGAGATCTGAGGATCACGGTTCAAATCCAGCCTGGGCAGGAAAGTCCCTGAGACACTCTTTTTTTTGGGGGGGGGTCCAGTCGTGAGGCCTAAACTCTGGGCCTGGGCGCTGTCCCTCAGCTCTTCAGCTCAAGGCTAGCGCTCTACCACTTGAGCCACAGCGCCACTTCCGGCTTTTTGCTTTTTGCTTATGGGGTGCTGAGGAATCGAACCCAAGGCCTCTGGCTTGCAAGGCAAACACTCTACCACTGAGCCACCTTCCCATCCCCCTGAGACACTCTTATCTCCAATAAACCATCAGAAAACTGGAAGTGGCGCTGTGGCTCAAGTGGTAGAGTGCTCACCTTGAGCTGAAGAGCACAGGGACAGCACCAGAATTCAAGCCCCATGGCCGACAAAAATAAATAAAGAAAGAAATAAAGCTCGGGCTTGGATTTTCTGTCTTGTTTCTGCTGGTCATCCCTCCACTTTGTGTTGACTTGTTTATCATATACTTTGTGAATTATTTTATCTGGGAGTTGCTCGTCATCTTGATTAGAATAGTATTTGTGTGAATTCTTTTTTCTTTATTTTCTTTCTCTTCCTTTTTGTGGTATTACTACTAGGACTTGAACTTTGGGTCTTTTGCTCTCACTTGGCTTTTTCACTCAAGGCTGGCACTCTGTCACTTGAACCACATTACCATTTCTGGCTTTTTGTTGGTCAGTTGGGTTAAGAGTCTTTTGGATTTTCAGTCCCAGCTTGCTACAAATCTTGATGTTCAGATCTCTGCTTTCAGAGTAGCTAGGATTACAGGTGTGAGCCCTCAGTGACCAGTATGTGTGAATTCTTTGAGGCCAAAGATGAAGGCAAATTTCTGAACTGACAAGGGCTTGCATTTGTTTCTGCCAAGTATCCATAAGCACACAGTCTAGGGCAGTTTTTAAACAAATTACTGGCTCTAGGGTTTTTGTTATCTTTTAGCAATAAGTAGGCATGTGACTTCAGGCTGAAACCTATGAGAATAGGCTCGTGGTTACATATTCATCCTTCATTCCACTGCTTTTGTTTTATATTTATAAGTGTTAGGGGCTGGGAAGGTGGCTTAGTGGTAGAGTGCTTGCCTTGCATGCATGAGGCCCTGGGTTCAATTCCTCAGCACCACATAAGCAAAAAAAAGCCAGAAGTGGCGCTGTGGCTCAAGTGGTAGAGCGCTAGCCTTGAGCTGAAGAGCTGAGGGACAGCGCCCAGGCCCAGAGTTCAGGCCCCACGACCGAAAAAAAAAAAAAAAAAGTGTTAGGATGGGCGCCAAGTCTTGCCCTGTGTCTTG